TTTACCACTTCATTCAAAACGAAAGATTTTCTTACAAAAAATAGAGTTTTTTTTAATGAATTTTAGTGCCAAAGCCGGTTTTTTTATTTCTAAGGAACAAGGTGTTCCTTAGGGCTACCACAGAAATGTAAATATTCTTAAATTGTTAATGTTAATTTATTTTTGTTTTTATAGGTTAAAAATAACATCTACAATGGCAACACTTGTTATGAAAGTTTATGCATCACACGATCATCTTCGTGGCAGCATCATTAACTCTCAAGACATTCATGCTGTTATCGAAAACTCCAAAACAAAAAATTTCCTCTTCAAATGACAACAAACACACCTGAGAACAGAGGAGTTAATGAGAACGAGAGTTGAGAATGCACTCTCCTCGCCGTTATTGTCACCATCACCAACAACAACAAAACATGTGAAGTGCAGAAAAGCACGCGAATAACAATAATAACCAATGCTAAATGCTAATGTTATGAAAAAGGTAAGTAACAAAATAAAAAATAAATAAGCAATACTCCACTGCTGGTACTCTCGACACAACTCGCATGAACAAGTGCAGTTCGTGCGAATGTAAGTAGCTACAATTGTACGAATGTACATATGCAGAGATATAGAAATAAAACATACAGTCATGTGTGATATGCAGTGGAAACGAATAGGTTCGTGTGTATGTTTAGCTTCGCTTCTGTATGATATGCACAACGAATGTAGTCATCATAAATAGGAATAGCCAGTTGACTAACAACAACTGACTAGTCACCAACCAAGCAACCAACCATCCAGCCAGCTAAACAGCTATATGCATTCATACATATTTACGTTGCTACAGTCAGTAGGAATTGAAAAAAAGAGCATTGCAGTTTCTTCATTTGTAACAAAGCGTCCGTCTCTCTCAAAATGTATAATTTTGATGGGGGTGATTAAAAGGTGGGTTGGGTGGGGAGGGAGGTTTTGCTATGCACAACACCAGCAGCCTCCTTTGTCGTCGTCGTCACCAACGAAAACAACAGCAACAATTGCAAATATACCACTATGAATAATACTCATTATTTTTTATGTAGAAATGTTATGCACAGTGACAGCCAGCCAGACGGTTGGCTTTTCAACTAGCCGGTAAGTGGTGGTGCATAAACTGAGAAAAGAAAAATACACTGCACTAACATTAAGCTTAACTTTGAAAGACATGAACGGGTAACTGAAATGTGCGTGTTTATTAAATGCAATTTATTAAGGTGGGTATGAATGTTTAAACAAATGACTATAAAGATTAGTGTTATTTGTTAACATAGACTAAAGTTTCACTTCAGAATCTTTTTTGCAACTTTTACTAGAAAATCATCCCTGCTATGAAAATGATAGTGGAACTGGCATTCTCTTTAAAATTTTACATTTGCGCGAGTCAAAATGGTAGATTTATTGTCAGCATCTGATTAACTGAAATGTGGATATTGAAGGGATGCTATCTAATTTTAAATTTTTCTAGGTCTAGGTCTTTAGGAACGAATATCGCATTTCTCTCTTTTACTAGGTTTGCCATGACAGAAGAATACAGGTCGATGTATTTAAAAATATATGCAAAAATAAATGAATTTGGATGCCTTTCAAAGGCTGGTGTGATTTGTGATTTTGAACAAATTTTAATAATTGAAATAATTTTTCATTCACTCATTCTGAATTCTAAAATTGTTTTGACAGCTCATTTTAGCTGCTGATGCGTCTACCTGTATCTTTTTATCATGATTTTTGCCAATAAGCAAGTAAGGGAACCAGTGTTGCCACCAGGATAAACATGTTACACATTTGGGAAAATATACAGGGGGAAATAAAAAACACACTGCAACAAAGTCAAACGCCATAATTTTTACAATTGTTTTTTTAAATTTTATTGAATGAAAACAAAAAATGTCGGAAATAGCATCAAATTTTAGAATAAGCTTAGATTTATTCGAATAGGTCACCTTTGTCACGAATTATGGCCTTCAAACGGCCAATGAAACTTTCACACGAGTTCTGCGGTATTTTAACACATTCCCGGCGAAGTGTTTACTTGAGGCGATCGACACTTAGGTATTTTTAGTGTCAACCTTGCTTTCCAAAATACTCCAGACACAATAGTCTACCAGATTGGTATCCGGCGATTTTGAGGGCCATTGTGCGCTGTAAATGAAGCGAGGAACCTCATTTGGTAACCATTCCTGAGTGGCGCGAGCTGAGTTCGATGATGCTGAGTCCTGTTGGAATGTCCAAGGTTTGCGGCCAAAATGTTTGCGTGCCCAAGGCTTTAATACACCCTCCAGAATATTTTCGAGATAATATTCGGCATTTATTCAGATTAATACGAACGAAAAACGACCATCGGCTGTTATGGCCGCTATCCACACCATCACCATGGCCTGCGCTTGAGTTCTGGTGACCAACCGAAGGTGGACATTTTCAGCTGACCTCTTTGGCAAGTAAACACGATAATTTTGTTTGTTTGCAAACTGATGGACAACGAATGTTTTCTCATCGGAGACGGAGAAAACCAAATTCGGCATTTCACAACTTTCGGCCAAGCTAAGCAACTCTTTAGCTTTTTTGAGTCTATTTTCTTTTCGTTGTGGTGTATGTTCTTGCACATTTTGGAATTTCAATGGCATTACCCCGAGCTGATTTTTCAATATTTGTCGAATGGAATATTGCGATATGTTCAGCTCACGAGCCATTTTTCGGCCACTGTGATGCGGTTTTCGATCAAGTCGCTTCTTTACTTTTCGAAGCATTTCTGCTGATGTTGCTGTTTTCTTCCGTCCACTTCCTTGACATCGGGCTACGCTACCAGTATCACGGTAAATTCATCAATTTGCTAGATTTGTATACCCTCACAAAAGGTATATATTATTCGATATAGTCAAAACGTGCCTCATCAAAGGTCTCTTTGGACCAAATATGTATCAGGACATTTGGAGTCGATATAGCGATGTGGCTGGCTGGTGCGAACGATAACTCTCGAAGGGAGTATCCGATATGATCCAAACACGGTACTTCGTAATATTATTGTCAAACTTAGATCTATATTTTATTATCTGTATTAGATGAAGTATGAAAATGGTATAATTCGGTCCGCTATATCTGTTACCCCACACATGTTTCCACATTTTCCAGAAATTTGCTCAATAGGAAACCTTTTTAAAGGAAGAAGTCGATATAGTCCAAATCTGGCACGTTGTAATATTTATACCAGTCTTAGATCAGATACGATTTGGTCAATATTGACCAACTACTTCGGAGGGTCAACAGTTTGAATAATCATAACTCAAGGCTGGGCGTATACAACTGTCGGCAAAACCGACTGCTACTATTTTACTTGTTGGGTAGCCAAACCACAAGTTTTAATATTAAATGTAAAAATATTAAATGTGAAGTAATATTATATAAAATGAAATTGCAGCATTAATATACGTAATCCATGGTTCTCATTAAGAAGTAATAAAACTTCTAGGTAATAAATCTGTGAAGCCATGACATACTTCTTTGTTAGGTACTTCTTTTTAATTAAAATCTTATTATTACTTGATTCGAAATCATTAAAAAAGGCATTGGTGATTAATGTAAACTCTATTACTCTACAAATGCATAGTGTAAACGCAATTATCGCATCAGTAACCGTTATTCCAAATGTAATTCCTTAAACGTCATGTTCTCGCTTTTACATATCAATTATAATGAGAGTGATGCTCACAAGAAATACTAAGGTACCACTCGATAAAGAAGTGGAGACATGACATTGAGAATAGGAATTATTACTTCCATTTTATTGCAAAGATCTTTCTCTGGTTAATAACAAGAGAATAGAATAATATATTGTTAGAATACTAGTAAACATTGTTATTGGTTTCATCGTCAAGGCCATATGTGCTTGGTGAGTGTGTCTGTGTATGTGTGTGTTGTTTATTATTTGCAAGCCCTACAGTGTGAGCAAAATAAGCATTACTTGAGCACGAAGCAAAAGCGCAAATAGAATCGTCGTTGTCGTTGCTAACTTTCATGTCTTGTTCTACGACACGAAGTACGAATTCGACATTAGTACCTTATTCTTATTGAGTTATGTTCTGTTCTCCGTGTTCTTATTTCTCAGCCGTAGACGTGTGTGCGTGTTGTTATTGTTTTTGCAGCACATATTTCCCAACATACCAAAAATACAATACAGCTTGAGAGTAATATTATGAAAATAGTTTATCGTAGGAATTCCTCAACATTGCTAGAGAAAAACTTTTTTGCACAAACTTTTCTCAAATCTGTCCTTTGTTGACAAATTTGTTTTGATTTTTTTTTTTTGTGAAAATTGTCGACAAAAACAAATATTTTCTTTGGTTAAAATCAAAATCACGCGAATTTAAGACTCATTTCTGGACGAAACTCTAAGGTAATGATGAATAATAAATCTGGGAATCTGTAGTGTATATTTTTTCAATCTCATTTCAGAATAGAGGCGTCAAAAAGTTGCAAGAATTCAAGAGATGTGAAGAATTAGTGGAGGAGATGCGGAAGCTCAAATAAGGGGAAAGAAAGCATCTAGGTATCAATGCAACAGGAGGCAGCGACAGCTGGGATGGCGATCAATGAATGAAATGTGTAAAATAATTAAAAAAATTAAAAAATAAATATTTTATACCATTGAAAAAATAAGCTTGATATAATATTACTTTCGTAAGCTTATTCTGCAATTACAAGAATAAGCTTATGAATAAGGGTTCCCTTTCGATTATTCTACAATTGTTAAACAAGCATTTCTCAATACATTCTCAAGATTTTCTCAAGCTTAAGGCTTATGTTTGAAAGCTTATTAAAATATTATTCTCAAGTCAATTTGGTATGTTGGGTTAATACGCACACACTCACACATGCACACAACCAGTCCACAAAACACACACTCTTTCTTCTTTACTATAGCCAACGAACGCAAAACAGGCGGCAGTTGAAAACAACAGAATTTCATACAAATAGCAACAACACACCACAGTGACATATACCAGGCAGCACACAACAAAGCAAGCGAGCGCACTACTGGAGAAGCAAAACAAACAACATACGCTCATACATACTTTCGTTGTGCGACTCGAGCGCGCGAACACAACACAGAACACCACTACCAGTGCATTTAATACCGTTTTTATTTCATACGGGGCGGTAAACGTAACGACGCGACGAGTATTTTTATTTCGTTTTTGGTGTGTGGTGCTGTTTCTGCTGCTGCCGCTGTTGTTCAGTATTAAAGTGTTACTCAGCATATAAACAAGCACACACAGAACACGGAGCAGGAGGACCGAACAAGCGAGAATTCTAACCGAAAAGTCTATGGAATAAATGTTGAAAAACAAAACAACGAAGTGCTATTGTGATAAAACAGTAGTGTGGTCGCTTGATTCGATGTTATAATAAAAATTGAGCAGTCAAAACTACTACCCAAAAACTAAAGAATATTTGCCAAAAAAAAAACAACAACAAGCTGGCAGATAAGACAAAAACACATTTTGTTTTGGATCACAATCATTTGGCAGAGAACAACAAACCAAACAAACCAAGCAACTAACCGAACGAATTGTATAATCATCTGACAGAAGCCAAAGTGAACAAGAGAGAGAGCAAACTATAAAAAACAAAGCAAAAACGTAATAAATGTCAAAACTTTTAGTGTTCAATTGCTGCTGCTGCTGCTACTGATGTTGTTGTTGTTATTATAGTGAGTTTGGCATCAACTCCTTGTGGCATTAACATAACCTCAACACACGTAAACCCACACACATACTCAAGCAGAGGGAGAAATATAACAAAAAGCTATTTGGCTGATGTTTTTACCAACACATTAACACGTTATTGTGGCATTTATTCTAGCCCAGAGTGTGCGGATAAACAACAAAAGTTTTCAGACTTTATTTTATATGGGAACTCAGACACACATTCACACATAAGTAAATGCATCGGTGTGTGTAATCGATTGAATGGAATAAGACATAAGCAGCCGTAGTTGTGCTTTAGCGCTTGAAAACTATTGTGACATTTGGTATCCATGTGACACATCACTCACGCTCTCTTTTCAAAGCAGAGTTGTATTTTCTTGGGAATTAACATTAATTGAAACATTTCCAAAACATATCAAGGGACCAACAAAGAGTGTGATTTAGCAGAGAGAGAGAGAATGAAATTAGCAACAATGCCTAGACGATCATCAGGTGGAATTTCAAAATTGATGGCTCCAAAGGCAACAGAAACAGATGCTGCTGACACGGCAGTTCCCACAAAGAAGGTAAGTTTTTAAAATGTAGCTTTGTATGTGTATAGGTATGAAATACCTACGACTAAAAAATAATAGGTTTTTATAGCAATGGTAATTCTTAATATTTGGTTTGTTCTTTTGAACATCGTTTTCCTTAAAGTGAAAAGTTTCAAACCAATTGCATAGGTTTGTATAATAACAATTTTGTCAGTTTAGTTACTGGGTGTTAGCAAATTCTTGGGGAGGAAATTTCTCGGTAAGGATTTTGGAACGTGGAAGAGAATATTCTCTCAGTACGATTTACTAATTAATATTACTTAAAAAGTTAACGAACCTACCTATTACTGTTTAGAATTTTGAACCACGATTATCGATAACTTATTGTTTGTGACGAGCATTATCGGAATAAAAACACACTATTCTAACGAGTTTTGAGGATTAACCCACTGAGTTTAATAAATCTGCAGAATTAAACTTGTATGTTCAGATCGGTGATGGTCAAGATCAAGAGTCCGTTACCAGTCAATTGCTCAACGTTATAATGTTTTTTTTTTATTTTGGTAGAGGAATGCAGGTAAATGCATCAACGGTTGAGAACATTGATATATCAAGAATTTTTAAATTTTTCTTTAGAAATAAGTTGCTATGTATATATTTTCCTATACGACGCCAATCGGATGTGGTATTGATATGCAATTTTTAACAATTTTTACAAATTTAAATAATTTTTTATCCAAAAATTTCCATTGCAAAATTGGTTGGGTTTGGTCTTCGTATAGTTCCCATATAACGATACCTCCCAATATTCTGTATTTTGATGATTTTAGCGACATTTTTTACCGGAATGGTTTCAAATATCGTATTTCAATCGGTACTAAAGCCTATGTAAAGGGGTTTCATTTGAGAGATATTTTTCTGCGAATTTTTTGGCGCCCCCGCCGAACTTAGGTGCTTGTTTATTATTATACCCTCAGCCATATGACTAAAGAGGGTGTATATCATTTGATAGGCCAAAACATGCCTCATCGAAATAATGGTTTTAGACACTAGGTCTCTTTAGACCAAATCCGTTCAGGACATTTGGAGTCGATCTAGCGATATCCGTGCGTCCGTCCGTCTGTCTGTCTGTCCAAATATTGTTGTCAAACTTATTTGACAAAAAAAAAAAAAAAAAAATATATATATATATATATTCTGCACAGAAAGAGAACAATAATCCGATTTTGCTCCAACTTAGCAAATCCTAATATTTGCATCAGTGCTACGTTAGGTGTGAAAATGGACAGCATCGGTCCACTATATCAAGTACCCCACAAAGGGTCAAAATTTAGAAAAGTTATAACGCTTATATAATGTGATGCAAAAGTCTGATTGCCCTCAAATTTCACTCATCGCAATATTTTTATTAACCCAAGGTCTGGTGTGGAGTTGGGATACATCGGTCCACTCCTTCTGATACCTCCCCCACAAAAGGTCGAAATTTTCAAACAAAAACCAAATATTTTACTGTACAGAGTGAAAAAGGGTAATCCGATTTTGCTCCAACCTTGCGAAACCTAATATTTGCATCAGTGCTAGGTTAGGTGTGAAAATGGACAGCATCGGTCCACTCCATCAAGTACCTCCCCCACAAAGGGTCAAAATGTAGAAAAATTATAACGCTTATAAAATGTAAGAGTTCGATTGCCTTCAAATTACACACATAACAATATTTTATTTACCCAAGGTCTGGTGTGAATATGGAATATATCGGTCCACTCCTTCTGGAATCGTCGAATTTTTCAAAAAAAATATATATTTTCTGCACAGAAAGAGAAAGGATAACCCAATTTTGCTCCAACTTTGCAAATCCTAATAGTGCTAGATTAGGTGCTAGATTGGTTGCGCAAATGGAAAATATCGGTCCACTTCATCAAGTACCTCCCCCACAAAGGGTCAAAATTTTGAAAAATTTTAAAAATTTTAAATTTTTGATTGCCCTCAAATTTCACACATCCAAATATTTTTATTAACCCAGGTCTGGTGTGAAGATGAAATATACAGGTCCACTCCAGCATCAGTGCTAGATTAGGTGCGCAAATGGAAAATATCGGACCACTTCATCAATTCCCTCCCCCACAAAGGGTCAAAATTTTGAATATCCATGAAGCTCATAAAACGCCAAATTATCATCCGATTCCATTTAGACTTGGTAAATATCAATATTTCTATCAACTCAAGATCTGTTCTTAATGTGGTAGTTTTTTTTTTCATCAATGATCATCAATGATTTCGCATAAAATTGGATATAATTGATGGATTTAATTTTGGCCATAGTAGAAGTATGAACGACCTGGTACGTCAGTCACATTCTCAAAATTTTTTAACATTTTCTAAAAATGATTTCATATATCATATAAATTGAAGGGAATAACCAATATATTCCAAACCTGGCACGTTGCAATATTTATATCCTATTTATTTAGGTCCGATACGAAATGGCCAATTTTGGCCCATTCCTATGATCATCAATTTTTGCTTCTAAGTTTCTTAAATGTTGCCATGCAGGTTTTAATGTTTTACTAGTTTTCAATTGGGATATGTGGACATCAAGAGGACATCGCATACAGCGGATGTTATATCCATCTCGCCATCATTTTTAAAATCATTTTCCGAAATACAAATTTCGAAGGATCGCCATAATATGTTCCTCTCCTTTACAATTTCATAACCTATTTGTGGAAATGTATTAATTACTTTAGGCAAACAAAGAATATCTTACGAACTACCAACACTACCATCATCAAACACATGCACATACAACTAAACATAAATAACACAATGGTGTCATTGAACAACATTGAATAGTTGTAGGAGGTATTAACCCTTATAATCGAACGTACGTACTCTTACATTCGCACCAACATAAAGAAGCCTTGGAAGAGGAACATCCAAGTGGACAGTCAACAAGACTGTGCCATTAAGAACTGTCATTATGGCATACTCACTGTTCATTGCTGCAAACTACACTGGCATAAAAATGGTTTTTAGTACACACGTGTATCAACCCACACAGATGTGCGTGCAAGTGGTAGTAGTATATAATATTAGTGTACGCGTAGTACATTGTACGCAAGCAATATGGATGGTACGAACGAACGAAAATAAACAGAAAATACGCTGTTTTTGTTGTGTTGTGGCGTTGTCAAGTAAATGAATGCCAAAACAAGCACCGTCACCACTACTACCAAGACGCAGCCAGACTTGAGCGAAAAGCCCCTGCTGCTGATACTGCTATAACATCTGCGAGCCAGCTAGCTCTACAATGAGCGAGGAAATGAAAGGGGTGAAATGAAATGTCGTCGTCGTAGTCGTCATAATCAACATCATCATCATGCAATTGGCATCGATGGCTTAAATGCGCACTTATACAAAGTTTACACACACATAGACACATCGATACATGCTTGCATGACTCTCTGGGTGCTTTATGGCATTGTGAATAATCTTATGCTCTCTAGTTTTGCTGATTTTACTTAAGTTGTTTCCCCCCTTACAAAACCCCTCAGACTTGTTCCAACCGATGGAGCAATGAAATAAACATTCAAACAACGACCAACCCATACAGCAACACCTTTTGACTTTCGTCAAAAGAAGAATTAAAATTAAATGCCAGCTAAAAACGATGTAAAGAAACGAACTCAACTTGGCCAGAATGTGAAGTAAGGAATAACAAAGACAGGTGGTAGGAAAAAATAGGTGTAAAAAAATGGTGTATGCCTGGCTGGGTGGTCGTTGGTCACGATAACTCTCGAAAGTCCAAACTTGACACATCTTAATATTTTTGGCAAACTTAGATTAAGTTTGAAGATGAATAATATTGGTCTACCCCTTCCCCTTCTGGGGAAGGAATACTTCACAGAGGGCGATATTCCCTTCGCTCTCTGTTGTATGTTCAATTTCGTTCAAAATTTAAAATATCGCAATATTTTTGTCAGGTTAGTGGGAAAAACGGTCAATAGCGGTGTGGTCCTAGGTCGAAGAGTATGAATTTAAGCTTAAATATACAATTATGTACCTGTTACGGACTTAGTGCTTTTTAGAATCATTTTGATACCAATTTCTACAAACTTTGATGATTTCGAACTCTATACAAGAGAATTCGCATTGAGAATTTTTGTAAAATTTTTAGGTTCCGTTGAATACTTTTCACATCTACGAAGTACGAATTTCCAAAGTCCCACATTATTTTGACCCGTTGGTATATTCGTACCTTTAAAGTATGAATTTCCAAAAATTCGAATTATTTTATCGTTTATACGCAATAACGGACGTTTTTGTAACTTTTTATCCCAAAATATTGTTCATCACCGATGTTAGCCCTTTTAGAACTTTTCGTACTCGTACAAGTACTAATAGAGACTTATACAACAAACTTAATACGAACACTTAGAGATCCTCAACTAAATGTTAAAGTTCCAGCTCCAATTGATCTCTTAATAGGAACATTCAACAATGTTGTATCTTTTGGTACTTTTCGTACGCTTAAGGTACAATTTTTAAAAAATACCGTCCTTATAAGTGCGAATTTACAAAAATCGGGTATATACCCAATTTTAAATGTAATTTTAGCTTGATCAGATCAAATAACAATTTTTTACTTTTTTGTACATATCTTACCAAAAGTTCTAGACTTTCCTGATCTCATGGATCACCACCCTTATTTCACTCAAAGATGACCGTCACGCAAAATTTCGATGGCACACATTTATTTGTACCATTTTGTGCCTTTTCGTACCCTTCTCGGTCTAAATTTTCTACTTTTTAGTGCTTTCTGTATTCTTTGAAACGAATTTCCAAACATGCTACATTACCCCCTGTCTCTACAGAAAGATCGATGCTAATACAAAATTTTCAAATTCTAACCTTTTGTGGTCAGTCAAAATCGTTCCAGTAGCATTTCGTACATTTTAGTACTTTTTGTACGCTTAAACCACGAATTTCTAAACAGTAGAAGTTTATTATAAACAAGTATGAAAGCTGTAAGTTCG